CTATCTGAGAGCCGAACAAGAACAGCTTCTGATCCACTACAAAGTTCATCACATTGTGTCACTCAGTCATCGTTGGTGCTGTCATCCACAATGAAACAGACACCCATCAACTCAAGTATCTTGTGCAATGACTATGCTAGTATCAGTTCGTTTGAAAGGACGAATATCAATGGTCAGTTTAGTGAGGATAAGCCAAGTGTAAACGAGAGAGTAATTGTTAAATTGACTTGCACGAATAAAGGCATTTCTAGTTTCAAGTTACTATTTGAATGTTATTATCTTTGGTGTAAATTACTCTGTTTCTATACTTGGTTGATGAGATATGTCGTGTGTTTGTTGGTCATCTATATTCTACGATACAATGACATGGGCGTGTTGCCGTTCAGATTTGAGGATTTAGCTGATAGAAGGAAGTTAGCAAATGAACTCTTCGACGAATTTTCAACCTAGGGCGTCAACCTGTGAAGGTTTGTAGGCGTACTGCTGTGAGTCCTACAATCCTTCAAAGGGTAGCGCATCAATGAGCAGTCCAATGTGTTTGGTGTGTGATTTTGTACATATGTTGATGTTGTATATACTGAATTGATATCATCTGTCATCTAGCTGTTGGTAATTCTGTTTGTGTCCGGACGACTTCCACTTGGATCATCAACCTGAGAAGGAATGTAGGCGTACTGCTGTAAGTCCTACAGTTCTTCAAGGGTAGTTTGTCATGCCGGAATCCACTTTTTTGATGTAGTGATTGTACATATGTTTGTGTTAAATAATTGTGTGAGTTCCAATTATTGTAATTGTTGAATAATCTTGTTTGTGTCTGGACATTCCACAACTTACAATCGTCAACCTGTGAAGGTTTGTAGGCGTACTGGTATAAGTCCTGCGATTCTTCAAAGGAATTCCATCAAGACATGAACTGCGAGTTTGTGTGTACTGTTTGTATATATGTGTGGTGTGTCATATCAATTGGTGTTATTTGAATTCATTGTGTTTACTCGTTGTTTTCGTACCTTGTTTTTATTGCATAATTTTGTTAAAATTTTCGTCGTGATTACTTCCAATGTTGTGTCCACTCTTCTACATCCGTGAATGAATTGATTGATGTTAAGGACAGCAGATGGGTCGTATACGCCGGGGAGTCTAGGCTATTGCTGAGAATGAAATGCACACGGAGATAATTGTTAGCTGCGGTCCGACACGCCGGGGAGAAAGAGTGTAAACGACTGAGGCTCGCATGCGTCACCGCTACTAGAACTGAGGCAGAATGAGTGACAAGCGATTTCAGTGGTAATTGGTAGTGAGTAGATAAGAGGATGTGCGTAGAGTATCGTGAGGTGGTGCTATGGTCACATTGCATTCTGCAAGAGTCATTCTAGCAAGCGGCGATTGTGTTGCAAGATGTCAAGAGGGGGTCTCTGTCTGGAGGTGCAGGTCGTCAGCGATGTGTGAGATTGTGCTGTGAGTACGCTTGTGGTGTGTTGGCTTTTCTGTTTGTTTTCCATTTCAGCTCTGTCCGTGTGACCCAGGTTCTCGCAATGGCATCCAAGTCAAAGTGTATTGGTCGTGATGGAAGAAGTGGACGGATCCCTTTTTTGCCGGGGAGTGTCAATGGAGTTGAAGATTGAACGATCAATTCATGTTTGTTTGCTCAAAACCAACTTCCCCAATTTTCGCGGAGGCATAAATCAGCCAGTCATCGTCTCATCGGTCGCTGTTCTTAAAGAAGAGTGAAACACCGTCAGAAGTAATATTGTGATTTATTATTGTAATATTTGTTTACAGATCTTAGTTCGTTTATTCCTTTTATATGTTGGTGTAACAATAAAGAAATAATAAGAGGCAGATCGGTGTTTTGGTTTTTGCGTCCGTTATAACTAAGCGTTTCTGAGAAATCTTCGAAGAACAGCGTGGGCCCGAGCGTAGCGAGAGCTGGGCATTAACGTTTTATGAGACGAGACTGACAATGTGCGATTACATCGATCACTATTTTTGACACAAGTGGATATTTAGACGAAGTAATAAGAAGACCTAATATGTCTGAATCGTGTAGTGTTGTATTTGTTCAACACATTTTGGACAATCTGGTCCTGCATGGACTTGTCATAGGAATACATATGAAATTAATACTGTTATGGGGTTAGAAAATAAATTTAGGTGGAATTTAATTCACATATTGAAGGTCAAAATAACAATGAAGATCACTAAACTAAATAACAGAGGTATTAGTACATCTACCCTGACTGGTATCAAAACGAATCTTAACAAAGAAGGTTTCGTGTGATGACAAGTGGTTTTTGAACTCACAAAGGTGGTTTAAACTTCCTAATCACACTTCGGTTTCCACAAACTTTAGGATGCAATCCAGACACGTTTTACAGATAGGTTTAAAAATGTACCAACGTAAATTTTATGTCCTGTCTCTATAAGATGTTTCTCAATAAACGAGCTGGGGCTCCCGTTCTCACCATTAATAGCTTCTGAAGATTCTGTTTGCCTCTGGAGGCATTTAGGAATATGATGCGTAGCCCTTACTTGTAAAAATCGATGAGTCCTCCCTAAATGGATACAGCAACCACTTCTAAACCTTACATCCACAGCTTATATATATATATAATATATCGCTAGCCCTAGTCCAACATGCCATTAAACCCCCGCGCCATGACTCACAACCCTCCTCCTCAACTCTGGACCTAGTGTTTTCCTACGGTGAGGATGTGGATCTCATACAACATCTTCCTCCGTTAGGAAGAAGTGACCATGCTGTGCTCACTTTCAAGTTCACAGCAACGGCAGCAAGGGCCAAAACCCCAGCTCGACCAAACGTTTGGAAAGCTGACATAAATGCGATCGTCTCAGCAGCCAACTCAGTAAACTGGTACATCAATCCAGAGTCCCAAGTAGAAGCCGCATGGAACCAATTTAAGCAACTTTACGCCCAAGTAACTGTACCTCTCATCCCTTGGTCTGTTCCAAAGGGTCGGAAACATTCCCCCCTTGGATAAACCGGGAGATTCGTAAGTTACTCAGACGTAAACGCAAATGTTGGAACCTGTTTGCAACACTTGAGACTTCTGAGACCAGGGAATTATATAATACTGCTAGAAATAAAGCTATCGCAGAAATCCGCCAATCAAGGATGAAGTTCGAGACACACCTGGCTCAAAATGCAAAGGCACAACCTAAGAAAATTTTCTCGTACTTGAATTTCAGGAATAAAACACCCAATGGTGTCCCAAACCTGATTATTGACAAAGATACAATCGAAGAAGATCAAGAAAAAGCAGAAGCAATGGCAAACTACTTCTCCCAAGTCTTCACTCAGGAGTCATCACTGCCTATAGGATCAGCTCTGGCTGCATCAGAAGAACATGGGATAGATTCCGTTGACATCGACCAAGGCATCGTGCTCAACTTCTTAATGAAACTAGATGCAGGAAAATCAATGGGTCCTGACAATCTTCATCCAAGGCTTCTCAAGGAGCTATCAGCCCACATAGCCGGCCCCTTGACCACGATCTTCAAGCTATCTCTCCTAAATGGAGTGTTGCCACGTGATTGGAAAGACGCCATAGTAACCCCCATACACAAAGGAGGATCAAGACAAAGCCCTTCAAATTACAGGCCTATCAGTCTCACCAGCACTTTAATCAAGACACTGGAAAGAATTATCAAGAAAAGCATCATGGCTTATCTGGAAAATAGCAGCTTGTTATCTGGAGCACAGCATGGCTTCCGGAGGAACCTCTCATGCCTGTCAAATCTCCTGACTGCAAGAGAAAGCTGGGTCAAATCAAAGGGAACAGAAGACCCGTTGACGTCGTCTTCATAGACTTCAGTAAAGCCTTTGATAAAGTACCTCACAAAAGACTACTCATGAAATTGGAAAGTCTTGGTATCAAAGGCAGACTACTAGACTGGCTCAGGGAATTCCTCATAGATAGGAGGCAGAGGGTTAGGATCAACTCAAAACTCTCCTCCTGGACAGCAGTAAGTAGCGGAGTGCCACAAGGCACGGTTCTCGGTCCTCTCCTTTTTATTCTGTATATCAATGAGTTACCTCTGCTCACCGACTCCCCTATGGTCCTATACGCAGATGACTTAAAAATTTGGAGAGAGCTGAAGGGCAACAGTGATACGTCACGTTGCAAGAGGACCTCAACAAATTGTCGGAGTGGTCTGTTGAATGGATGCTCCCGATCAATGTGGCAAAATGTGCAACCATGCGCATTGGACAATCAAGCACGAGCTCCTACGAACTAGAGGGAATAACACTTCCATCAGTTCAGACTCACTTGGACTTAGGTGTCATAGTTAGCCACGACTTAAAAACTACAGCACACTGTCGCGCGGTGGCTGCACGTAGTTTCAGGTCCTTATGGGCGATTCGCAGAGCCTTTACAAGAATTACCAGAGATATGTTCACCTCCTTACATACATCTCTGGTTAGGTCAAGACTGGAAAACTGCATCCAGGCCGCCAGTCCGTGTCTAAAAGGGGATTCACACATTCTAGAAAGTGTTCAAAGGAAGGCAACACGTATGGTTCACGGCATAGCTAACTTATCATACGAGGAAAGACTAGATAGTTTAAATCTCTTCTCACTGTCATACCGTAGGCAGAGAGGAGATTTAATCACAATGTTTAAAATTTTAAATAATGACTACGGACCTGACCTATTCTCTCTTTTCCTTCCCACCAGGTCGGAACACCTTAGAGGACATAGCAGGAAAGTTCAAAAGCCAAGGAGAAATCATATTGCTGTTGAGTACTGGTTCTCACATCGAGTCATAAACTCTTGGAACCGACTCCCAGAAGAAGTGGTGTCTGCAACCTCAACTGATTCGTTCAAGAAGAATTTGGACAACCACAGAAATCTACTAGAAAAGGATTAACATAGGCTCCAAGCCTTCTATCCTCAACCAATAAATCTGAAATCTGAATCTTGGATGACCGAATCTACGCGGGTGTTTTGAGTTTTGCGTCACAAAGAACTTCACAAGGTCATGCTGCCTGGATTAGCTAAACCATCTGAACCTATAGACCTGGAATACTTCTTGAACAAAAGCCAGCTTGTGGTAATTATGCTTACTAGGTTTTATTTTTCAGAAAAATAAGGAAAAATGTCCACCTGATATATGTAGGTTGTTAAACTGATTTTGACAGCTTGTTAGTTTTCAGTTTGGGAACGAATCCGATAACTGATGGTTCGGCCTATCTTGAGGTTAATGACATCAAAGTTTCTTGCAATGTCACTGGTCCTACTGAGGTGTGTTTGCTGGGTGTTCAAATTTCATTTCTGTTTTTTAATGACCAGTACAGATGCGTCAGGATAGTCAGTTGGTCGCTGCTTTGAAATTTGCCCCATTTGTATGCTGGTTGCCTAAGGATAGCATTGTGTCCTTAGAAAAAAAGCTGAGTCGTTTATTTCTGAGTGCTATTGAGCCTGCTGTTATGTTGGTAAGTTACTTTATTCGTTATTTTGCTGATAATTTTTGCCAGGCACATTTGTGTCCACATATTGAATAACTTTTTGAAAGTACCTATTTCCTAAAGCCCGAAGAGCATAATTCCGAAACTTATTAGGATGCTTGCGGCCGCGGGCTATGTATTGAACAAAATGTCTTTCACCATCGCTAACCCAGTTGCATTGTATAAATGCTAGGCATACGGGTACTTACCGATGCTCATGTAAAGTAGCCGGGAGCAGTATAACTTAGTAATTGTGAGAATTGGTCTTCGCACCGCATGGGGGTGCAGATAACAGACATGCCAACCTTGGAAAAAGCAAAGAAAAATGGAGGGGCCGAGTGCATGAATATTGTTATGATGGCCAGAATCCTGAAGGTTTTGAGGGTCGCTACAGTGAATCTGCAGCCGCATGATTTACATGCAGCCTGATGATTTCCGACACAATATATGCGACAGCTATTTTTTTAATCTCCAACCAGCGATTCTGTGCTGCATCTGTTGGTGTTATTTGTTCCTCTACTGACGTTAGAATTCTTCAAACTGACTCCTGTTTTAATTAACAGTTGGTGGACATATTAAATCACCTTCAGCTATCTTGGTCTTCACAAGTCGACAGTCTCATCATATACTTTGAATTTCCCGTCTTCGACCTATGATTCCCCGTAAACTTGACTTCGTGACTTGCAGACAGCCTTATGAAGACCTGTGTAGTAGTAATTTTTTTAGCTGGCAGCACTTTACGAAAATGTTCCAAAGCTATAGAATGAAAGATTTTGCACAGCCGAATCTTTAGCTTGTATCCAGGAGTGACTTATTTTGATGGATAGTAAACGCGTCTTTGATTGGACACTAGTTAGTAACTAGTGTAGTGTATTTAGTCCTGTGTTTCGTGCAGAGTGAGTTCTATCAGTCAAGTTCGTAGTGTCTCGTCTTTTATTTGTGTCTTCATCGGTAATCATGGGCACTGAGATATGAATCTTATTTGGATATTCGCACACTTGTGTGGTCCTAATAACAGATGATTCTGTGATACTCCTCAAGTTGACATTTTTAAATCTGCTGTCTGTTAGATGTACCTATTTGAAGTGAGTGCCCACTGACTTTTAGCTTCTGCGTCCTGCACTTCTCAATAAATAAACAATAAAGGTCTTAAACTGTTAATCTGTTTCTTCATCTGTTGTGGTTATAAGTACCTCTAGTTTCTATTTTTTAATTTTTTCACATATGTCTTTATTAATATTCCTATCCCGTTCATATACTTTTCGCCAATGTGAAGCTCGACCGATATTTCGTAACCTAACCAGCACTATCTTCGTCCGCATCTATGACATCACGAAGTACAGATTGATTCTTTAGGTTTATATTAGCTTATAAGGCTGGAAGGTGGCTAAATATGCTTGTAAAGTTTTCTCAACGTACTTGAAAAGGATGTGTTTTGCTCACACAGATTTATTGCCAACCACATCTCAATATTGGATAAAAATTGATTTTCGGATTAAAACTAGGGTAGTTAAGGAATTAAGGCCTATCGCAATGTTGTAGATGGATATTTAACTTTAAGTAGTAATGACAGATTCCCCATTCCTCCCACTCAGTTTTCGCTTAATATATCACTTATGTTGTTTTTACTCTTAGTCTCCCGACCGAAAGCTGCTACTTTGACGTGGTGGTCGGGCTTGAACACCGCAATGATCTATTCAAGCTTTACTGGCTAAGACTTATGTCTCTTGAGGTTCTACCATGCCAGAAAGGTTGTTTGGATAGCGGTTAAACAAAAAGCAGCTACCCAATCCAACATCATGACCAATACAAAATCACAAAATTTCATGCCGGATCGGCCGTGGCCCGGATTAACAACGACCGCGCTTCCTGCTGCCGTGTCACAGGGCAGGAGTGATAAGTATGCTACTGAGGCACACCAAACAAAAGAGAACGAACAAAAACAGGCTGCGTGTGACAGGCCTCAAGCAGTTGTCCCCTGGGCTCTGCGGTCACGCAACCAACTTCCACGGTGTGGGCAGCCGGGAAGTAACAATCGCCCTCACAATCCGAAACGCACGCGAAACCTCTCTATTACTCACTCATCTTTGTTTTCATCTTCATCTCTATCATCTTGCCTTCCTTCCACTGACGCAACTCCTCGACTTGATAGCTCTCCACTTCCTCTCCACTCTGCGTCCACTAAAAACGATGGAAGCCAAAAAACCATCACCGACAGCCTCCTAAAGCCGCGCCACCAATTTCATATAGGAGCTCTTAATGTTAGGACACTTTGCCAAATAGGACAACAAGCATCACTAGCCAAGACCCTGGCATCACAAGCCATTGATGTATGCTGTGTTTCAGAAACACGCATACAAGACCCAAGTGTGGTTATTCACCTAACCCCACCTGGCCAACAGGTTGAATCTGCAAAATTCACCTTGAGGGTGTCAGGAGATGCCACAGTCAGTTCACGAGGATTAGCTGGCGTAGGGATAGCTTTGAGTACTAGGGCAGAAAAGACACTGCTTGACTGGATCCCGGTAGATAGCCGAATGTGTGCTGTCCGTCTGAACGGGTCAGTAAAAAGGAGAAAGGACTGCACTACTCGCTGATGCCTTTTCGAGGTTAGGCAACTGTGTAGACTCATCAGGGAAACGGGTGGGAGAAGACAAATCATTAGTGAAACAATCTCGGAAAAAAATGGCAGTATAATTAGCTCCCAGGATAGACGACTGGGTCATTGGAAAGAGCATTATAAGGAGCAGTTTAATTGGCCCACAGCCACGCTTAACCTTCCGAGCATCAAACACCTCCCTGAATGGGATATAGACACAGGTCCTCCATCCCTAACTGAGGTTACTAAAGCTGTCACCAATCTGAAACAAGTCAAAGCAGCGAGACCTGATGGAATGACTCCAGAGGTATTTAAGTACGGTGAAGACAGTTTACTGTCTGCATTAACTGAGGTACTAGGCAGCGTCTGGGAATCAGAAGAAGTCCCATCGGGTTGGTGTAAGTCACTGATAATCCCGATATACAAGAAGGGAGACAAGTCTTCCTGTGATAATCACAGAGGGATTAGCTTGACTAATATAGTATCGAAAGTCTTAGGCTCAATAATCATGCGTAGACTGAGTGGTGCTCGGGAGGCACAAACACTAGAGAGCCAGGCAGGCTTTAGACCAGGAAGAGGGTGTATTGATCATATCTTCACCCTCCGACAGATTCTAGAACATAGGAATTCCTACCGGCGTTCAACAGTCATTATATTTCTTGACCTAAAGGCAGCATTCGACTCTGTCGATCGGGAAGTTCTCTGGAGATGCTTGGCTGTAAAGGGAATTCCGAGAAAATATATTGCACTGATTAAGGCACTCTACTCGTACTCATACAGCCAGGTGAGGGCTTACGGCAAGCTGTCATCTGAACTGATGACGACTAGTGGTATCCGTCAAGGATGCCCATTATCCCCATTTCTATTCAACCTTATCATAGATGTACTAATGGACTTAACCCTAAGTGACTTCAGCGACTCAGGGATTGACTTGCTACCAGGGAATAATCTCGTTGACTTCGAATATGCAGACGATATAGTCCTTCTAGGTGAAGACGCTGACGAAATGCAGAGTCTTCTAAACACCTTGAGCTGCAATCTACGAATGTTTAGCGTGCGATTCGCTCCCGCCAAATGCGAGATGATGTTACAGGACTAGACTACATCGACGCCTAGTTTAGAAATAGGAAGTGAAGTGGTAGAGCACGTTGACCGCTTCACTTATTTGGGAAGTACCATCAGCCCCAACGGGCACAGTGGTTAGGACTCTCGCCGACCATGCACATGGTCCGGGGTTCGAGCCCACGCCGGCGCACACCTGATATCTATGGTCGGCCTGCAAAATTTGGGCTACCGATATCCATGCTGAAAATTCCATACTTGTACCAAAAATACAGTGTGGAATCAAGCTGTAAATCGAAAAAAATCTCAGAACGGACACAGAGGGCTCGTTTCGCATTTGCCAGTTTACGCCGTCTCTGGTGTAGACGTGATATCCGGCTGGCTATCGACCAAAGGGCATGTGTACTGCTCATCATTCCACTCCGTCCTCCTTTATGGCCAGCTGTGAAACCTGGCCACTGAGAGTGGAAGACATGAAAAGACTAGCTGTCTTTGATCATAGGTGCCTGCGCTCTATTTCCCGTGTAAAGTGGCATAATAAGGTGAGCAACATTGAGGTTAGGCGTCGAGTTCTAGGTAAACAGGGGAAATCAATCGACGAAGTCGTGAAGTTACAAAGACTGAGATGGTTAGGACATGTGTTACGTATGCCAAGCCATCGCCTCCCTCGACGAGCAATGTTAGCGGATATAGGGTCAGGCTGGAAAAAAGCTAGCGGCGGTCAAACAAAAACTTGGCCGAACCAGTCAATGAAATCCACAACAGTTGGTCTAAGCCACGTAGGAAGGTGTAGACTTCCAGGCTGGGGTCCTCGGGACGGTAAAAATCTATGGTTGGAAACAATTGGTGACATGGCTCAAAATCGTTCTCAGTGGCTGATGCTGATGCATCCACTCCCTGTGACTTATGATCTCCAATGAAACTGTTTTGTTCTTCGTTATTACTCCTCCTTTGTCTCACACCTCTGCTTACTGTCTCTATTATGCTTTTCTTGTACTTTCTTCTCTTGCTTCGCGTGCTACATGGAGTGTGGCGGCTTGAAGTGGCGCACATTTGTGCAAAGTTCTATGTCGAAAACAGACAGACAGACTCTTAGTCTTCATTCCTTTTGACTTAAATTTAAATAAATCAGTTTTGAGCGTAAATACTGAGACATCCGAAGGCAAATGATGTTCCGTGGTAACATCTTAGTAATTTTAGCTTTATGTAGTTGGATATATTAAGTGTATACTGTCGCTTGGTTCCTAATCTTGTTTATTTTCACTTTCTTTTGAAACGAAAGCATCAGTTTCCGAGAGGCAAATATGAAATTGTGGCAAATATTCTGGATGTGTGTCCACATAACTCTACTGGGTTAATTGGAGACTGTTTGGCTGCTGCCGTCACATGTGCGGGATTAGCTTTGCTTAACTCTGGTGTTCAAATGTATGATCTTTTAGTCGGATTAAATTTGGACCTGTCCAATCTTGAGAATAAAAGTGGTCATATTTGTGTTGCCGTTTTACCTCGTCTCCGTCAATTTTCTATGTTGTATACAGTGGATTCACATATGCCTCACACAGAGTTTCTTCAGAAATCTCTAGTATATGCTATGGACAAATGTGTTAAGCTTGCAGATGTAATTCGAAATAATCTTTGTGGGCAGACTAGAGTCCAACAAATGAGTGAATAAATTTGTATGTAAAGTGTTCGTGTCTTTTTTATTTTGAATTCCTCGGTTTGATACATGTACACATGAGATTTCGATGAAGTACTTTGGTTTTTGAATAGGTTGTGTAGTGAGTAAATTTCTTATGCGATTGATTGGGAAGTCTGTGATATTTCTAACAAAGTTGCAAGCATGTTTCTTCGTATGTATAGAATATCACTTAGCTGCATTGTTGAGTACCCCACATGGAAATTTTTCGACATCTTCGAGATACGATTTCTCAGGCAAGCTGTCCGAGTATTAAGTCTTAGAAGTACTCATAGAAATGCTATTCATGAAGGGGTGGTTCAGTGTATCATACATGGGTAGTTCGGTATTACATTAATTAGAAATTGTATGCATTACTTTTCCATCCAACTGCCAGAATGACTACGATTCTGCCAATCAGCCTAAACAGTCAATCTTTTCTAAAAGCAAAACTGCAAAGTTGTTTCCCTTGAACACATAATTTTAACAGATAAGAGAGGAAAATACCTAACGACAGAAGATAAGGGCCAAGCAACAGATCGTGCATTAAGGAAATCAACACATATCTATTGATTTTCATGTACGTATTATAGATTATTGTTAGCAGAAGAACACGCTCTTCCGATTGGTTGTTTCTCACAGAAAGTTAACATTGCATCTCTTTGTGGCTGTTTCTTGAATGTCAGATCATCTATATGCTAACCGTATCCGCCCACGCAAAGCCTTTCTTCTCATTTTTCTCACGACCAATATTGGGGACATAAACATTGACGTAAATTACTGTCCACCAATTTTGACTAACAGCCAACTCTCACTACAAACTTACCGACATATCATAGGCTCTTTAATAATCTTATATTCTGAGTCGAAATATTTTGCAGAAACAATTCAATTCGTTGGATGAAATGCATTTGTTTTTCTATTTTTTTGACGCACATAGATTATTTCTAAAATGACTATGTAGATTTTATTGACTTACACTTCTTTATAACACTCACTTATGAGGATTAATGACTACAAAGAGTATCTCAGGTAATACTATACTACTACAGAATTCTTAAGAATTCACCATTATATTATCCTATAGACAAAACACCATGATTGGTTTATATTTGAATTTTTATTTGTAAACTTATATATATTAGAGTTAAGCCTGATGAGATCTGATTGAAAACAATATTGTTCGCTTAAATGTGTTGTTCCAAATTCTTAAGATGTCGAATAGTGAAATTGTTTTTGACTGGAGTAAACATCTTGAGTCAGGTCACTAATACCCTTGTGATTTATCCTTTAAAGTTATCTAATTCAAACACTACTGTTGGTGGTTCATTGGTAGGATGCTCGTTAGCCATACAAGAGGTTCGGGCTCGATTCCTGATCGACGCACTCTTAAACTTTGTCCAGTTTATTTGCTGTTAGTAGGCCGGGAAGAGGGGGGGGGGCTGGATGTAATGCTAGCAATCCCACCACGTAAAACAGCAATGCTGCGTAAAGTTCAAGCTTAAAGCCACATGTTCTACCTGAAATGCTAAGGAATGAAATAACTTCAGCCACTCTAAAAGTGTACTTTTTCATAAATTTATATATTTATACGTATAGTAAAAGTGCTGCCTATGCATGAAGTTAGACCTGAACAATGTGTTCATATACACTTTGTCAAACCCGTTTATAGTAATCTTAATGTTTTTGAATGAAGCAAGAACAGGAGTTTTTGCAGAATAAAGTGGTACTAACATTTATTTCGTTGCCTTTTCATCAGCTGCTTACGGGCTAAAGTCACTGTTAGATAAATCTACAGAAACATACTTGCACAGATTTCATTTTAAACAAAAATCAATCAATATATGCACACATTAATTATATATATAATATTAAACACTATTCCAAACAATAATGATTATATACAAACTTTCGGCATTCACATGAAAGAGAGATGAAAATATCCAGTTAGCAGGGTAAAGAAAGACTGACAACTGTTTCTTTCTGAACGCACAAATCGATGGAGGTGGCTCCAGCAAACTTGGGGAGAATTGAGCTCTTTTGCCTATTGATAATTTTGAACGAATTTGTGACGTCCACCTCATGACCCGTGTCAAGGAGATGCTTGGCGATTGCACTGTTTAAAGCATTTGTTCCCTATAGACATAAGCTTTTTGGTACATGTTCAGAAAATCGTAGATATGCCCTTCTTTCTGTTCTTGCAATGTAACTGCTTCCGCACATACACGTAAATTTGTATATACAGTTGGAGTTAACATGAGAAGGATATCCATCGATTTTTGATTGTACCAAATAGCAAGTTGTTTGATAGACGGGGATGAGCTTAGCTGCAGGATAGGCTCTGGCTAGTGACGTACTCAGTCTTCTGTTGACCATTGCTGCAATGTTTTCACCTTTATAATCAAGTTCACCTCAAAGGTTCACTAACGAGTATGGAAGATCTGAAGTCTTAAACGTAAAACAAATCACAGTGCAGAAAAAGCCAATATGCATTCAAATTGATTATAAAAGTGAAAGCATTGCAGCAATGGTCAACAGAAGACTGAGTACTTATGGAATTTTCAGCATGTGATATCGGCAGCTCAAATTTAGCAGGCCGATCATTGATGTCAGGTTTGCGTCCACCGGAGACCGAACCCCGGACCATGTATATGGTCTGCGAGCGCCCTAACTGCTGTGCCACCGATGCTTATATGATTGCGTTTGATAGTAGTATCTGAATTTAAGTTCAAAACTTGGAATTCAGGTTCTCATATTGTTCATTTTAGCCCCCGTAAGTTGGGTTACTGATAGGATCCCACATATTTTGGTATTGACTGTTTAAACTTGCATATATGGTATGTTATCATTCTCACACATTTTGGTATTGACTGCTAATTTTGTATATTATCATTCTCACGCATTTTGGTAGTGACTGCTAATTTTGTATATATGGTATATTATCATTCCCACACATTTTGTTACTGACTGTCAACCTCGCACATATGGTATATTATCATCTCTCACGCACTTTGTTATTGGCTATTAAGATAAATTATTTCAAATGCTGTTAGCTGTCCATATTGTTGTAAAATGTATAAATACCATGGCTTTCTTTATCGTTGTTGCACTTCAATACACAGTCACAGTCCAGCCTTTGTCTTTTGATATTTGCGTGCTTTACTAAGTCGGAAGGTACGACGAGCAGATAGACAGATTAGTTCAGGCGCAGACAGAATAAGGTGAAAACGTCTTCATTCAATTCCCTACAGCTATAACAAATTGGCGACGGGGTTTTACCTTAATTCAGTGCAGTTATAACAAATTGGCGACGGGGTTTACTTTAATTCAGTGCAGTTATAACAATTGGCGACGGGGATTTACTTTAATTCATCGCAGTTATAGCAAGCAAACGACGACAGTTTTTATTCTGTTCAGCGCAACTATATAACATTTTTGACTGTGTTAATTACAACCCAATTATAATGTCTATCTCTCTGGACGATCTTCCGGTGACTGCAGTTGAGGTTGCCAGACACACACTGCATGATCCAGTTTTACAGCAAGTATCAAAGTTCATCCGATTTGGCTGGCCTCCACATGTTCATTCAAATGTTTTAAAACAGTTTTACCAGCGACGCCAATCCCTATCCATCGTTAATGGATGCATAATGTTTGCTGATCGTGTTGTGGTTCCAGCTAATCTTCGTGACCATGTGCTTCGGCAGCTTCATATATCACATCCTGGTGTTGGGAGAATGAAGGCGATCGCTCGCAGTTATGTTTACTGGCCCAACATCGATGACCATATCGAAGACCTCGTTCGCAAGTGTAGTAAATGTGCTCAAGCATCAAAGTGTCCACGCAAGACAGAACTATGTTCCTGGCCACGACCGGACAAACCATGGTCCCGTGTTCATGTTGACTTCGCTGGACCGTTCAATAGTATGCATTTCTTAATATGTGTCGACGCGTTTTCCAAATGGCCAGAGATATTTCCTATGCATTCTGCCACATCAATTGCAACAGTGTCCCACCTACGTCAACTATTACTGAACGTTTCGTCGACACCTTTAAGCGTGCTTATGCAAAAGCGAAGGGGGAGGGAACAACAGAAAAAATTTTGGATAAATTCTTGCTGCATTATCGTACGAATGAAAAAGGACAGTTATGTGTCAGACACACAGATCACGCTCTATCCAGTACCACGCAAAGGTCAACTCGACAAAGAAGAGCTCCGAAACCTTTTCAAATAGATCCAAAAAGCAAGTCCTACACTCTTTACGGGGGGAGGTGATAGGATCCCACATATTTTGGTATTGACTGCTAATTTTGTATATTATCATTCTCACGCATTTTGGTAGTGACTGCTAATTTTGTATATATGGTATATTATCATTCTCACGCATTTTGGTAGTGACTGTCAATGTCGCACATATGGCATATTATCATTTCTCACACACTTTGTTATTGGCTATTAAGGTCAATTATTTCAAATGCTGTTAGCTGTCCATATTGTTGTAAAATGTATAAATACCATGGTTTTCTTTATCGTTGTTGCACCTCAATACACAGTCACAGTCCAGCCTTTGTCTTTTGATATTTGCGTGCTTTGCTAAGTCGGAAGGTACGACGAGCAGATAGACAGATTAGTTCAGGCGCAGACAGAATAAGGTGAAAACGTCTTCATTCAATACCCTACAGTTGTAACAGTTACCTTGCTGAAACTAAAGTTAGCTCCAAAAATACAAACGAAAGGTATTCGTTTTAAAGTTTCTTTAGGTAAATCATTCACAAAAAGATATTCAAAATTCTGTAAGACTTACATTTACTGTTCGACATCGTAGCCATTAGAATAAATGATTCCATAAAACAAATTTTGTACTGGATGATGAGTGCTTTGAATATATCGCATGGAGTTGTTGAAATATTGACTTTTAGACTTATAACAAATAGTTACAAAAAGGGAAGAGATTGACACTTTAAGATTTAAACAGTAGTTTCTCATTTCAATAGTATAAGTTAGATTGTCACATTATATTCTATGCATAACGAAAGTAAACTAGTAAAGTTATTATCCTACGGAGTTTTTTAGTAGGTAAACTATGCTTGTGAGTGAAATGCCAAGGAATGTCTCCTTTATGAAATTAATATGTAATTCTTCAATTAATTAAACAGTCAGTACTTTATAAAAGTAGACTAATAAAGGAAACTAACAAGCACCTAAACTTAGAATTTTAGGGGTGACACTCTGAGTGAGTTATTTAAAAATCGTCCCATGAGATCATTGAGGAAAACGTTCTTTGCTGTTACTTTACGAATAACTTACTGTAGCCGTCCCCTAGTATACCTTAATGTCAAGAAAATGTTACGTTGAATGTCTAATTTCATGTGTATTTGTACATTCATCTGCTGCTGCAGAGCTGGGTATCAAGGAGAGAAGCAACCTCCTCTGATTGGTTTTTTTCTAGCTGATGGTTATTCTGTTATCTCTTTGTGGCCGTTTTTCAGAAAATCAAGCCGTGTATCTGCGAATCATATTTCCACACTTTAACTCCACTGTGATTGGCTGGTGATTCTCTCATGGTTAAGCTTTGTTAGTGTTTTTCTCATGACTCTGATTCGGGACATAAACATTGACGTAAATTGTTGTCTATAGTTCTGGCTTGCAGCCAGCTGTCACTTTAATGGTGGCATTTATTTGGAAAGCACCATAACGACTCATGAGAATAAAAAAATATTCACTACTGACATTAGGTTTTCCGGACTGTCAATAAAGTGCAGCTTATTCTGACTGTGATCCCTTCTAGATTACATTATAAAGGCAGTAATATTTCAGAGTTTTATAGCTCAAAGTTGAAGAAATCATGAGCTACTAAGGAAAGTCATATTCATAATTTGTATACCCTTAAATACAGAAGTAAATTAGTAAGGTTTCTTATTACAAGAAACAACAACTAGAATTTGAGGGAAATAATTTAGTTAAAATCTACTTATGAAGTATATTCTACCTATTTAACACAAGTAAGGTGAAACTCAAATTCCAATATTCAAATGGTTACTCATCAATTTCATGTTCAAATTTACACTATCGTATTATACCCCTCTTTTCATTTGTTTAAAAAATATACATCATCTACACAGGAAATAGTTTTTTTCTCATGTATTCAAATTTTTCACATATTTGATCAAGCAAACGAAAGTATAAAGGTAATAAGAAAGAAATGACCACATCAGAATTATTGATCAAATAAAACAAAAAGCAGACGAGAGGAATAAGTATTCATGGTGTTGAAATAGTGGATAATAATAAGCCGAAGAGTCACTTATATTTTTACGATTCATTGTTTTTAATTATCCTATATTGCTACATCTCTTGAAATACGTTAATTGGCTTGGATCTGTTTTTAAAACTCAAAATACTTATTATGAATCGCACAGGTTGGTGAGATTAATTCAGGTTTTTTTAAAAATCTCACCTTTCAAGCTCACACTTGAACTAAGATAGGTAGTGGATCGGCTTGCTTCTCTCTTGATCCAGACGTTTCCACCTATGGTGTGGTCAGAGCTGGCTACTAGCCAAAGTTGATAGATATCAACTTACGCCAATGTTTATGTCCCCAATATTGGTCGTGAGAAAAATGAGAAGAAAGGCTTTGCGTGGGCGGATACGGTTAGCATATAGATGATCTGATATTCAAGAAACAGCCACAAAGAGATGCAATGTTAACTTTCTGTGAGAAACAACCAATCAGAAGGGTGTTTTTCTGCTAACAACAATCTATAATATGTACATGAAAATCAATAGATATGTGTTGATTTCCTTTTTAAACGATCTGTTGCTTGGCCCTTGTCTTCTGTTGTTACAATGGGACTTCAGGAAATTACTTGACTCTAAGCCTTACACATTTATTCCAGCTGACTTGAAATGATACCAAGGCATTATTGGTAGTGAAACAGTGGAAGATGAAAGATTTGGATAAGGAATATTTACTAGGAAATTGGTATCTCTATGTAGCCAAATTATGTATACCTTATTTTCAACACACAGTTTTCGCATATCTGTGTGTTATAGTAGATCATATTGTGTTTCTTTATATTCCTTTTACGTCTCCCATGTATCCTCACAATCCTGTATCATTTGCCTTCTCTGAAATCAAATCTATCTCCCTGCTATTTTTATGTTTTATACCGACCAATGTCTCTTTACATACTACTGATAAGCCTTATCAGTAGCCCTCCCCACATTAGGATATATGAAACATTTTAGTATTTTCCCTTTTTCAAAGAATAAATATTCAAATATTGTTACCTTAATATACTGAAAAATAATCATAAATATTTAGTGTTTTAGGAAGATTTTAACCTTCAGGAAACTCATGTAGTACGTGTAATAATTTACTCAAGAGAATGTTACTGATGCTAAATGAAAGTTCATAAAATGTAGTATCAAGTGTGACGTTTTAGCTACCATATCATAAAAATTATAAATCGTTCATCTGCGAATAAAGCAGGTGAAAAAAAAAGATGAATACATAAATCCAAGCGCTATTAATATCAACTAAATAAAAAGTAAGATTTCAGATGATAAGATG